ATGACTTGTTGCCCCTTTGCCACTTCTATATTTAAGGCTAAAAATTCGAATTGCTTACTGACAGATTTGGAAACCAATGTGGTTACACTGAACTTATTCTTAACATAAATGGCAACGCCACCACCTTTATTAGGCCGGTCGGTACGATACACATTATAACCATTTAAGGATATGTCAGAGGCCAAAATAGTTTTATTTAGCCATGTTTCTGATAACACAATGACGTCAGCGTCAGTCGAGCTTGCCCAAATGCGGACAAAATCTAGTTTACCTAACAGACTGAGCACATTCAAGTGGATGAAACCCAACCCAGATCTATCTTTAAAATCAGCAGGAGTAGCGATCTGACTACTACTACTGGGCGGACCAGGGTTAGGTTGGACATTTCCTGACAGTAATAACAAAAAAAAAAACAGGCATCTTTTCCTCTTAATCGACACACACACATTGTCATCTACTTTAGAATCACCGGAAAAGTCTGCGAGAGTTTGATTAGAGTTTAAGAAGCAGTCCTGAAGTACCATCATCGCAGGCAAACAAAAAAGACAAACATATTTTGTCGAGCAAATTGTCTGCGACAAGGTAACCGGTAACTGTTTGTGTAACACATCCGACCCTTTGCAGGGGATGCCTACTGCGGGTGGCAGAACAGACCTGAATCCAGTAGGCTTCTCAGGATGACTAGAGATCTTCTCATAGTCCAGAAGAGTTAACCCACTTCAGCATGGAGACTCCTCTCTACAGTTATATTACAATAAACTACATCTTCTGAAGATCTTCATTCAACCCCAACCCTTTTCCCTGTTCATACCAGACAGTAGGACTGTAGGGAGAAGCTGCTAGCTGTATCTGTTAAACACTCAGTACTCATGGCAATACTCCAATGTAAACTACAGCTGACTGGAGAATGTGTGTTCTGGATTCATGTCTTCACGGTTCATTGCACTTATTGTACGTTGCTCTGGAAAGCTACATGTGATGTAAGGGTGTGACTGCTTCAGGGCTCACAGTAAAACACTCAGTCCTCACCAGCGTTCTCCTGGGGAGCATCACGCTCTGTCCTACAGTAAACTCTAACAGCTCACCTGTGACGGTGACGGAGAGCAGACGGCTCTCAGAAGAGAAGTCCAGAGAAAAAGCAGAGACGTGATAAACACAGCTGTAGCTTCCCTGGTGGGCGGGCTCTGCAGCCAGGAACAGGAAGTGGGCAGAGTGATTGACAGCTGGCTGGGTGTAGTTGTGAGTGGAGGAGCTGAGCAGGAAGGAGCCTCCTGGGTACTGAGGCTGGATGGAGCAACTGATGGTGAAGGTGGAGCCTCTGAACACCTGGAACCCCTGCTGCTGGGGCCCGGAGACCCCGTACATGGAGGAGGACACAGAGATGTTGGGCTGAAACAGCTTATCTAGAGAGAGAGAGAGAGAGAGAGAGAGAGAGAGAGAGAGAGAGAGAGAGAGAGAGAGAGAGAGAGAGAGAGAGAGAGAGAGAGAGAGAGAGAGAGAGAGAGAGACAGACAATAGTAGTAGTAATCAGTACAATAGTAATATTAGTGAAAATAGTACATTGTTTTTTTTTATAAATGTGTCTCACTGTACAGGTTCATTTTGTTTTTGAAAAAGAGGTGCGTTAATTTCATATAAGCTGTTGGAATATTCAGGGACTCCACTCAGTCATTATAATATTTTCGATTGTGTCAACAACAAAAACAAAAAGTAATAGTATGGTATATCCAGGTATCATGACTTATTTTCTTTAAGTATTTGCGGTCGGGCATCTTGGATATGTCTGGACATATCGAACTCCTTGAATCTTGGAACTGATGACTGACAGTGACCAAAATGTTTTGTTTTTATGTTCTGGTGGTCACGGGTGTTTTCTAACAACATATAACATTGGGGTCTGTGTGTGTGTGTGTGTGTGTGTGTGTGTGTGTGTGTGTGTGTGTGTGTGTGTGTGTGTGTGTGTGTGTGTGTGTGTGTGTGTGTGTGTGTGTGTGTGTGTGTGTGTGTGTGTGTGTGTGAGGGTTAGGGCTCTGACGTAGGTGCAGGGTGGGAGGGACATTATGGGTGGAGGAAGAAAAAAAAGAAGGGGGATAAATGATTTCTTCTTTTTAACCTCTTAAGCACGGCGGTCCCCCCATTGGACCCCTGCCACCGTTTTGTTTTCGAGATAATGTCTCAGGGCTTCTTAACATTTATGAAACTATTAATGTGTAGCACCTGATTAACGGGAAGAATCTCAGCTAACTGAAGATATTAACCATTTTTACCAAAACAAAACACAAGTCTCATAAGAAGGGTCTAAATGACCCCTGAGCGAAAAGATTCTAACGCACTGCGGCACACAATTCAAGATAAAGATACCCTTATTACTTATCGTAGCTGCACATACAATATAGCCTATTAAAGCTGAGACTCCACTGATTATTTACGTATAGTATCATCACTGAGCGATCCGAACTTGCGACAGGGGAAGCAAACACAGACATCACAACACGTACCTTTACGGAGCTTTTACGGCAGATCGTCTCACCGTAGCTGTCAATTAGGTGAAAAGACGTGTTCAATGGCATTAAAACGAAAAAAAAAAAATCTACAACTGTTGATCCATAGGTTGATAATGGTAGCCACCAGAGTGTATGCAGCTTCCGGTTTTGGTAACGCGTCACTCTCACTCCTTATTTGTTAACGTTTTGGTGTGTATATAACTTTCCCTCGATTCCATTGGCTCTAGCGGTTATAAAGAGATTTCATTCATCAAAATCGAGCAAGGGGGGCCAGAGATAGGTCAAATCCACCCAAATGACCCCAGAAGTGGGTTTTTTTGGCTAAATCTCTAAGTCAAATTTCACTTGTTTTGCATCAATCTTGATACAGGGTACTTATTATATGTTGTACTTTGGATTCCTAAAGCTTTTAGTCTACTAACCCATCATCCAAGGGTAGTTTTCACTATAAGTAAAAAATAATTTTTGGACGGACACTATAATTTACAGTTTTTTACTATGTAAAATCTGAATTTTCTTTAAAATAAAAAACATCTATATTGATTCTGACTTTTCTACATCCAACTCACAGGTTTATCATTACTTTGAGAATAAACATTATTCATTTAACCCTTTTAGAAGGGAAGATATGGTCATTTGTTCTGGGAATGTCATTTTCGAGCCTGAGACCTGAAAAACAGGCTCAGGGCTTAAGAGGTTAAATAAACTAGCAAAGATTACATTTTTAACCCCATATTAACACCAAAGGAACAAATTATTATTACCTACCTATACAACTTCAAAAGACCCACTTAAATGTCATATGACCTTATATTACCATAAAAGAGTCACTAAGTAATATTTACCCCTTATTAAAGAACATTACCTTATAGAGGGCATTACGACCCCAACAGGTGACCGAAACAAGTCATACTATCATCAATGACTATAATAGCTTCCTAGGGGGACACTACAACAGGTAAAACATCAAAGGGGTCATAGTCTTATCACCCCCTATTGAGCAATATCCTTATGAGGGGCTATACAACAATAAAAAACAGCTAAACAAGTCATACTATCAGCATTAACTATATCTGGATTTATCATTGACAAATAATGACCTACTAAGACGAAAACGGGTTGTATCCGCATATTTCTCTTGCGTATAGCCCTTTTTGCCACACGAGGCCGTAACGAAACGATAGAAACGGACCCCGCAAACGATAACGGGTCCAAAGGTGGATAGATCTGGGAACGGAGCGCTCTGGGGGGGTCCAACGGCTCCGTGTGATTGCCTCTATACGATCATTTTGTGATAATGATGACGCAATAGCCCTGCCTCTCCCCACCTCTGCTGCTCACCCCCGCAAAAGTACACTGCACACTGAATTCAGATTATTTATCTTTATCTCGATATGGACATAAACGCGAGTGAAGTCTAATCTGACAGGACGGAGACACGCAGCTCCTCCCGCTGTGATGCAGCTAAACACACACTTCAAGTCAGATCATCACCCTTAGCTATTTTAATGACCTCTCAAACTACCTAAACTAGTTATAAATATGTTTATTTTTACTGTCGGGTCACTCATTACTGGATCAGCTGCTGCATGAGACAGACACTGACGCTGTCAGAAGAGAGGAAAAAGAGAGGCTCCGTATATTTTATGATTATATATCATTATATAGAGTCGTTATTCATTTGTTTTAAAGCTCAATAAATAACAAAGAAGACCTTTGACCGGCACTTTTATAATTTTGTCCAGAAGATTTAAACTTTAACACACGTTGACCGGCGAAAAACTCTGCCCGGTTCCCTCGGCCCCCACCACGGAGAATAAACAGAAGGGCAACCATGACAACCATTCTTCTTCGCTGCTTTTGTGGAGGAAGTTACAGCGCCACGTACAGGCTCGGCATATGTACTGCAGCTTTTTCCAGTGGTTGGATCTAAACGGAGCTGTCTCGTGTGAACAGACACTATCCGGTGTCGATTGCGTGTGGACGGAAGCCTTTTTTGCGATTGCGATTGCGTTTGTGTATGCGTTTTCCCGTATGCGTCCTCGTGGGGCACCAGCCTCCAACAGGTTTCACATCAAAGGGGCAATAAAATCTTATCACCCCCCCTATTGAGCAACATCCTTTATGAGGGGCAATAAAACAATAAACATACAAGTCATAAAAGATAAGAGGGTCAAAGGTCAGATGTCAGAGTGACAGGTGCCACATCAAAGGGATTTGGAGGCGGGGCTAAGGTTTATGAGGGTCATAAATCACTCTCTTATCAGGTACTTAATCTCACGCACGCACGCACGCACGCACGCACGCACGCACGCACGCACGCACACACACACACACACACACACACACACACACACACACACACACACACACACACGCATGTGTTGAAGTGTAATTGTATCACTGTATATATATATATATCAATAATATGTAAACATTTGAAATGTATGTTAATGTTGTTAATTTTTATTTTTATTTTGATGCTTTCGCAACATTTGTTTCGTTTAACTTTCATGCCAATAAAGCTCCTTTGAATTGAATTGAGAGAGAGAGAGAGAGAGAGAGAGAGAGAGAGAGAGAGAGAGAGAGAGAGAGAGAGAGAGAGAGAGAGAGAGAGAGAGAGAGAGTGAGCGAGAGAGAGAGAGAGAGAGAGAGAGAGAGAGAGAGAGAGAGAGAGAGAGAGAGAGAGAGAGAGATGCAGTGAAACACTAACACAGCGACACATATTTGGGACTCAAAATTACTTCAACAGGAAATTTCAATCTGGCCATTAATGATCTCAGAGACAAAGGAAGAAAGGCTTTCTATGCTATCAAAAAGTCTTCAAATATAGATATACCTGTTAGAATCTAGCTCAAAATATTCAATTCAATAATAGAACCAATCATACTGTATGGTAGCGAAGTGTAGGGTCCCCTTGGAAATCAAGACTTTGATAAATGGGACAAACACCCAATAGAAACCCTACATGCGGAGATATGCAAGAGCATCCTGAGAGTCCACAGGAACACCCCCAACAATGGATGCCGAGCTGAGCTAGGCCAATTCCCCCTTTTAATTAGGATACAAAAAAGAGCAGTCAAATTCTACAACCACCTAAAAACCAGTGATCCCAACTCCTACCATTACAAAGCCCTCCATTGCCAAGAGGAGAACATAGAGAGGAGACCCCTCAACCAGCTGGTGCAACCCTGTCTCCTACAAATTACGTTCCCACAGAACTAAACTGCATTCTCAATTACGTTTAGCTAGAAACATATTTTCTCCCACGTTACGTTGGTTTTGAACGTATCTCAAATAAGTTTATTTTCTACATATCTTCTAGAAACATATTTTCTCCCACGTCACGTTTGTTATGAACGTATCTCAAATACGTTTATTTTCTACATATCTTTGCCATTTATTGTCTTGCTTATAATAATGATAATAGTCATTTATAAATATCATTTTAGAGCACACATTTGAAATCGACGATCGGGCTCGATATCCTATGGTTAAATTAAAATCAGTAGGCGAGGCTGTAATTTTGCCAGCTGCGAGGCAGAAAATAATAGCTTTAACAAGCCAAAAAGCTGCTGTGTCGTTTATTGCACCTCAAACATTAAAACAAATCCAGAGTTACGTGTTTCTGTACTTCCTCTAAGAAGAAAGGACAGTATACAACAGAAGAGCTCTGTGGCTTCAGGCTTGATCGCCGTTCAAATGACAGCTGGTTTCCCCAAAAGTGGGCGGGGCTGTAAAGTGACGTAGGAAAGATCCTCAGCTCGCTGATTGGATGTTTTAGCCGCAATGCACGTCGGGATATGGTGTTAATGCGATATGATATCCGAAAAAAAATTCAGAGTTTAGGATGGCCGAAGACACTACACTACCCATAATCCCCAGCTATCGTTTGGGACTACAGTCCCGTTGACAAACCCCGTGATTAATCTTCAAGCTCTGGGATTGGATGTTGGAGTGGCAGTGCGCCAAGGTTACGCCGAGCGCCAAACAGCTCTTTGAAATGGAACAAAACCACGGCAGACTTTCCAAAACTGGACTCGAACGCCCCCCCAGAACTACATATGCTGGCTATTGTGTTTCGCAACATGTTCTATGGCACGTCTCTACTGGGAATTGTAGTTTTAAAAGACGTTTTCGTTTTTCCCAAAATTAGAAGTTGACAGTATTAAACTGTGTACAGCCCTGGAGGTTTAGGGGATAGGAAACAAATTGGTGTGTACAAATGTAAAACATGTAATTAATAAATGGGTGAAAATCGCTTGTGTCCATAATGGGAAGCATTAATATATACCCACATGCCAGCTCATTGTTACTTTGCAATTCTACTCCACTACAATTCAGAGGTTAACGTGGTATTTTTACTCCACTACATTTATTTTAGTTACTTTGCAGATTCTGATTAATGATGTGAAATATAAACAACTCTTAAAGCAGACTTTAGTTACACCTGAGTAAAATTCAGGGAAAGGTGATTGTCAAGTGGCAACAATCAGGAGAGATATTAGTTGGTGCTTGAGAAGACTAAACATTTATCTGCAGATCTCTATAAAGTATATTCATTACTCGTTATTCTCTACTAATAGTTCATTAAAAACTGTATATAATAGCTATTTTGCATATCCCTTTCAAGATTTTCTAAGGTTTATTGACATATCATATACACAACTATGTTGAAGTTATGCAATTAATGAAAAACTTGGGTCACAGGTTTCTCAACAGTGCATTACAAGACATCTATCAATATGTGTGTATACCTCCACCATTAAACTCAAATTCTGCACATTTCTTATACTATCTACATACATAAGAGTATAATTAATGTGTATAATATCAGTTAAAATAAGTGCTTCAACACAGTTAACATTGCAGGAAAGCAATATATTAGACGTTAAGTACTTTGTCAGGCTTAATATTTATCTGTAGATAGATACTCCCAAAGCTTTTTTCTTATTTGAAAGAAGACCTTAACCTAAAGTATTCTTTAATGTGTTAATAAAGGTTAATTAGTTTGTCTGTTTTGCACATCCTCATATTAATATCTTTGTACATCAGGCACTAAACTGTTTTATTGTAGAGATCACTTACAGTATCTTCTTGATTTTTCATATTCTATATTTCTATCAATGACCTTCTACTTTCCCCCTATGAAAAATATTTTATTCATTAAATAACATTATTCAACAAAAATAACATTATTCAACAAAAATAATTCAATAACGTGCTTTAACCACTAGGCGGTGCACACAAGGTACACACAGTATACTAATAATAACTTTGTATTATTAGTGTAGGACACTTATGTATGGATAACATCTGAAGATGTGTAGTTTTATTCATGTTTTCACATAATTGTACAGGATATTGCTATATTATTTCACATGTTTTACTTCTAATATCTGATTTGTAAAACATCACAGACAGAAAGGTATATCCGTCATTTAATGGTAAGCTATTGAAATTGTGATTTCATAGATGTGTCTCCCATCACCCAAATCCCCTGACTATTCTCTCAACTCAGTATTTACATTCTTATATTCAAAGAAAATCAGTAATATCTTTAAAAACGACAAGTCCTTTTCTATCAGCTGTGCACCGTTAGGGTGTAAATATAACCTATCTACCAATTGGATCAAATGTAAAAGTCAGCCGAATTAGTATTGATACTGCAAGGATACGTATTTTGTGAAGAGAAATGTAAGATGTTGTTTAATTGTTGATATATTTATGATCCACGTCACGTATTCAGTTTCGGTGGCAGTGCTTCCTGTTTGTCCAGAAGTCTTCTCATCAGGGCTCTATAAATACAGAACTACGGCAGATATGTAATATTTAATGCAGCCGAACCGTGTATTACAATGCCGTTATGTGATGACCTCCAAAGAGAAAAGCAAGAACACTCGGAATAAAGTATTATTATTTTTTTTTTTATGTTTTCGGATTTCACATCGCATAAACACCATATCCCAACGTGCATTGCGGCTAAAACATCCAATCAGCGAGCTGAGGATCTTTCCTACGTCTGTTTCCGGTATTGTTCCTGTAATGAGAGTTCACATTTATGCTACATTGAAGGGTGGAATTGACTACACATCTTCAGAAACATAATTTGCTTCAGATATAACTCATAGCAATATTGTAACCATTAAGAAAAGCCAACTGCATTAAAAACCCAGTTAACAAACACTAGGTAAAGTATTTTTCCTTCAGTAATGAAGATGTAATTCCAATGTAGACACACCTGGGGTCGCTGTTCAGTCTGTTACGATGAGCCATGCATTGTCTGGAACGTAAAAGGGACGAAGAACACAAAGTAAAGTAACGTACTTCCGGTTCAATGTGAAAACATTCCCAGTTAAACAACAGAAACAAATCGCTTAATAAAAAGATAAAACACTGGCATGTAATCTACGTTAGAATAAATAGAATGGTTTTTAATAATAGATGAGAGTAAAATCTACGTTACTTTACAGCTCCGCCCACTTTTGGGGAAACCAACGCTGTCATTTGAACGGCGATCAAGCCTGAAGCCACAGAGCTCTTCTGCTGTCCTTAGAGGAAGTTTGAGGTGTTTGAGGTGCAATAAACGACACAGCAGCTTTTTGGCACGTTAAAACTATTATTTTCTGCCTCGCAGCTGGCGAAATTACAGCCTCGCCTACTGATTTTAATTTAACCATAGGATATCGAGCCCGATCGTCGATTTCAAATGTGTGCTCTAAAATGATATTTATAAATGACTATTATCATTATTATAAGCAAGACAATAAATGGCAAAGATATGTAGAAAATAAACGTATTTGAGATACGTTCATAACAAACGTAACGTGGGAGAAAATATGTTTCTAGAACTTATGTAGAAAATAAACGTATTTGAGATACGTTCATAACAAACGTAACATGGGAGAAAATATGTTTCTAGAACTTATGTAGAAAATAAACGTATTTGAGATACGTTCATAACAAACGTAACGTGGGAGAAAATATGTTTCTAGCTAAACGTAATTGAGAATGCAGTTTAGTTCTGTGGGAACGTCATTTTTAGGAGACAGGGTTGCTGAGGCTCACCTCCTCTAACAGGACAAGGCCTCAACCAGCTGGTCCTGAGGCTCACCTCCTCTAACAGGAAAAGGCCTCAACCAGCTGGTCCTGAGGCTCACCTCCTCTAACAGGACCAGCTCATCCAGCTGGTCCTGAGCCCAGCTGGATGAGCTGGTCACAGCCTAAGAGACAGCAACAACACATAACAGCTGTTCCTCACAGCTCACTCTGATTACTCCTCTACTTCATGGGTCTCTTTTCTTTCTTTCTTTTTACATTTGATACTTGCAGTTTTGTAATAATATATTGTTGTAAATTGTTTAATGAATGAATTGTATTTGTATTTTTTCTTTTTTTTTTTATCCTATCACTATTGAATTGTATTATCCTTGACGCTTTGGCAATATTGTTCACCTGACATTCATGCCAATAAAGCTTATTGAATTGAATTGAGAGAGAGAGAGAGAGAGAGAGAGAGAGAGAGAGA